AATTGGGGGTCCCACGTGAAACTCTGGAGTCAGGTGGAAGGGGATGGCGTGGATCCTTCACAGTTGCAGCAGGAGAGCGTTGGGATAGACATTTTCACGTCTAGCCATGCAAAGAAACAAGCGTTCTCACGTGCCAAGTCGCTCACGTGGACAGAGACAGACTGGCAATCTGGTGGACACTCGGGAAGGCCATATGAATGACAACCTCATCGGCAACTGGAGAAGATTCTCATCGCCAGGTAGTGCAGATTCTTGCGATGATGGGCCGAACATCATGCTGGGGCACCCTGTTACGAGCCCATCACCCTTGCAAGGTCCTTGGAGCCCCGATTTCCCCCAGCCAGATAAGCCACGATCGAATGCGGCGGCCGATGGTGCAATTGTTTGGAGTCCTGATGTGCCAAGGACTTTGGGCTCTGGCATGGGCTCTTGGAATCCAGACGTTCCAGACACCTTGCTGCTACCCCAAGGCATTCCGGAAGAACCAGATCAGCAGTCGGATCAGCCTCTTGTGCAAATATGATATAGATAGAACACGGTTCAAGCCAAGATTTCAACTTGGAGGAAATGCATTTTTGATTTTTAAACATGCATGTTTCCGTGTGCATGGGCCAAAGCCAATATCCTTCCGAACTGATCAATTGCCATTTGAAGCAACATACATGTGGTCTCCCTCTCTCTCTATGTATATACATACGCGCATATATATATATATAGAGAGAGAGAGAGACAGTCTATGCTGTGTATGTTTAGGACGGTCACTAGGATATAGCTTTGACACCGCCTATGTCTTAGACAAGGATGGCCATGTATCACAACCGTCAGAATAAGCCACGCAAAGCAATTTTCCATGAATGGTATGTCAAAGACATTTGTACTGGATGGTTGGAGCGACAGGGGAGAGGCATGTGTCAATCACATCAATTTACTCCTGTTCTGTATACAGCTCGCCCCCTGCGTTCCGATATCCATGGCAACAAGCATTAATTTATGCACAGAAAAGCTCTGATGCCACGGCTGCTTTCCTGGAGTGAAAAGAATTTGTCGCTAAAATACTTGGTCTTCTTGGAACTTGAATTTGGGAATATGGTGCACAAGCGGCAGTATATACGGTGTGTATATTTATATAGCGCTATATAAGTTATACCTAGAATATCGAATTGCTGTTTTCAGCCCAGCACCGGTGGAGGGCGGACAGGATGGCTGGCTCCGGAATGGGGTCGCTGTGGATGCAGTAAGGTATCTTTTTTGTCATATCCCATCAAGAAAACTGCATTCTAACTAGCGTCAACGTGCTTGATCCATTAGCATGCCCGACGGCATGAAAAGATTGTGGGGGGGTGTGCAGGAGGGGGAGGAAAGGGGTAGAGAGGTGTGCGGAATGGTAAGAAAGAGCATGCGTGAAGATGGGACGGATATGAAATCAATACTACACAGGGATGGCGACGATTAAAAAAGCAAAGAGTGCAAAGATGGCAGGCTGAGAGCCATGAAGAGCGATCCAGACGCAGTGGACGTCATGGAGGTATATGCTGGGGCGGGAAACATTCTTGCAAGGTTGCGCCCATTCCTTTCCAAGTTGAAGCGTAAACTTGTCCGGCAGGGGCAAAGAGGTGAGACTTGCTGTTGTTGTTGTTGACCTTTGTTGTTGTTGACCTTTGTTGTTGTTGACCTTGTTGTTGTCGTTGTTGACTGGTTGTTGTTGACCTTTGTTGTTGTCGTGGTTGACTTGTTGTTGTTGTTGTCGTTGTCAATTTGTTGTTATTGTTGTTCTTGTTCTTGTTCTGATGTGTGTGGGTGTTGGTGTTGGTATTGGCGGTGTTGCTGGTATTGGTGTTGCTGTGCTGTAGGAGCTGGAAAAGGGACGCATAAATATGAAATGCCAATAATGCAAGGCAACTTGGGCGGCATGACTGGCACATTGGGGCATCTGAAGTCACCTTAACGGAAGGGGCACCCTCACGAGCACGTTATGGACAAAAAAGCACGCTTTGAACACGATTTTGTGCAAAATGTAAAAAAACATATGTTTTCGCGCGCGTAAGAGCCAGAAACACCGGTATTTGCTTTGCGAGGTGGACGTTCCGGGACTAATATCAAAAAGCACCAGCGTAGACCCCAAACAGGTCGTGCAGTTATGAAGTAAGCCACAGAGACGAATTGTCAAACAGTCAACGGCTCGAACCGTTATAGCTCGCGGTGATCAACTTGGACCTTCTGGGTTTGTTTCAGGTCTTTGCTCAACTCGCTCAAGGTCAGGACAGGCAATTCAAGCAAGAAGCAATTCAAGCAAAAAAACAGAACATATGCCAACCTACTGAATATGCTGAATCGTACTGACATGTGGCTTGATCATGCTTTGTTTGGATAAAGGACTTCTCTTTGCTGGTCTCCCTGCTTGGATACTCTTGACGCAATTCAGAAAGGTACTTTTGCGTTGACCTATGGAAGCCGTTTATGTAATGCCTGTGTAATGCCCAAGGAAGAAATCAACGACCGCAATTGCGAGATATCGCAAGGTATGTTAAAGCAATGACAACGAAATGACGCATCTGGTTTTGGAAGGCTTTATCCTCCAGATAGCCAAAGCAATTGGGGTTCTTACTTCAAGTATGGGAAGAGGTGCTTGTGTGCGCTCTGGAGCCTGGATGCTGGCTGTCAAATGTTGATGGCAGTGTGCGCTTTGGAGCTTGGGGTGCTGCAGGGTTTGCTGCCAGATGTTGGTGGCGGCTGGGCGCTGGCACCGCTGCAGGGTGACGCTGTTAGATGTCCATGGCATGCCCCACCACCACTAGGACAACTACCACTACATTATTTTCACGTGAATATCATTTCTTTAAATTCTGCTGCTGCAATCGTACGTCAATTCCTGTCTACCATGAGCGCTACTAGTACGATGACGACCTCCAGTATATTGAGTGTCCATTTCACGCGGCGTGCCAGTCGCGCCCCGGAAGTTCCCAAGGTCTAGGCCCCGAACGCTCCGGCCCGGGCCTCTAAGGTTCGGGCTTCGAAACTTCGCTTTAGGGTTTGGGCCGCCACTATTGTCCGTGGCGACTATTGCTCACCCAGAGCAGGTTGAGGCAAGCGGACGACAAGTGTATCAAGTGCAAAACCACCCGGCCAAGAGTATCCAAGCAAGGAGTTGGAGACAAGTGTAAAGTCACCCGGCCAAGAGCATCTAAGCAAGGAGAGAAGTGGAGAAGACACCCAGCGAAGTGCAGCCAGAGTATGCTGGCCCAGCGCACCCAAGCAGGCAGACAAGTGGAAAGGGCAAAACTAGCCGGCCAGGAGTATCTAAAGATCAGTGATGGTATTTAGCCTACAGAATGGTGGGGGTTAACCCTCCTACAGAATGCACATTTAGTAGTAAAGGGGTTTGGTCGCACGACCCCTGTGGTTGGGATGCCAGCATTTTGTAGGCAGCAAGAGGGTTGGGTGTACTTATTTAGTAAGGAAAAGAGAATGCACGATTTGTGGGTTCCCCATTTTGTAGAGTAGGGAAGGTGGCCGGTGGTGACCAAGCCTAGGCAGGGGGCTGAAAGGGCAAAGGTGGAGGGTGGAGAGGTATCTTTGATAGGCAGGATGTGGTGGAACTTGGTGGTTGTGACATGTTGTGACTGGGTCTTGCTCGTGTGTCTGCTTGTGTGGGACAGGCCTACTGTACAAAATCAGAGGCGCAAGCCCAAGGGTTGGGCCCCCCATTTTGTAGAGCAGGGAAGGTGGCCAGTGGTGATGAAGCCTAGGCAGGGGGCTGAAAGGGCAAAGGTGGAGGGTGGAAAGGTATCTTTGATAGGCAGGATGTGCGCCTGCTGGTGTGGGACAGGCCTGCTGTACAAAATCAAAGGCACAAGCCCAAGGGTTGAGCCCCTCCATTTTATAGAGTAGGGATAGATGACATGTCCTGAAGGATCCTTCAAACATAT